TATTTTAAAATACATTATTATTATATTATTAAATGTTTAAAATTACAAAAAAATTATGTTTTGAGTTGCAATTATTTATAATTATGAGGGGAAAATTTTTCAGAACTTGAGCTTGTAGAAACTTTAATAGATACAAATGTATAAGAGAATATTATTAGGGCATCTCAAAAGGTAAATAATTAGATTGTATAATTAGAAAAGTGATATGTAATAGTTGTAATACATAAACTTGAAAAGGTAAAATTAAGATTATATATCAAAGTAGTCAAGAAATAAATTTTCATTACAAAATATAATTATCATAAAAAGATTGGAAATTTTTAGATAAAATTTTCTATTAATCTTCTTTTTTTTATTTTAATTTCTCATTTTCTTTCTTTTTATCTTTTTTTTTATGAATTATGATTGTTTTTTCTTTTTTTTTGACTCTTACACTTTTACTATTTTTTGGTATAAATTTAATTTCATCTAAGCTTATTCTTTCTTTTTGCTTTTCAGATTAAGTATAAAAGAAATGTTGTTTCAAATGCTTCCTATTTGTTGAAATATTTGCTGTCACTGAAACACCTTGATTGTAATAAAATTTCTACTTTATCTCTTTTTTAAGAAAGTAATACTTTACCTTATATAAGGGTATTAATTTTTATGGAATATCAAGCAAATTGCATATTATAATATTTGAAATCTGTTAGTAACCTTTCAGTCTAATCTCCAATTGTAATTTCTTCATTTTTGGATTGCCCAAAGTATCAATCTTCTAAGTCTCTATTATAATATAATAAAATATATAATCAATACATTTTAATCTAAATAATGAAATGCTGATTGTATTTTCTTCTTTATTTCTTTAATTTTCACAAATAGATTGGTATAATATTGTTTCTACCATTTTAGTAATAGTGTTCAGATTAATTGTTTTTCTTAATATGTTGGTATACTCAATTTAGAAATTTATGTATATACTTCTTCCACAACAATTTTCTTACATAATCTAATAATTCACATTTGGTATTGATAAAATATTATTTAAATTGAATTAAACTTTTTTTGATTTTTATGATTTTAATTTAAATCAATCATTTAAATAAACATCGCTCAACCCAGGATTAATGTAAATTGGCTATTTTAAATCTTCTTCTAAATATTATATATATTTCTCATAAATGTACATACTGTCATTGGTTCAACTTCTCCAGAAACAGGAGTAATAATTGATGACTATTATTGACAACAGTAAAATTAACATAAAAATCCAAGCATTCTTTTCACCTTATAAGATTCCAAAATTAATTACTATAGCTCCTTATTTAAAATTTTACTAATTAGTTTAAGATATTCATCTGCACTTATGCACTTATGACAATATCTGCATATTTATATGTTAATCTAAATTTTATGTTTCTCTATGACAAACAGCAACTGTAGCATTCCTTTTTTTTAATCATAATAATGATAATTGCAATCCAACAAAGAAGCTTCTATTTCTTATAGTAATTATAATCCAATATCTTTAATACATATTCTACATTATAATTAGATATCAATTATGAATATATCATCTCGCATAATTCTGTTCATAAGTTAATGTTTTATATAAATTATGCACGTGTATTCAAATTTAGATCTAACACGCAAAGAGACTGATATTGTAATAGTAAACCAAAAATCTATTAAAATCTGTTGATTAAATTTTTCTCTTTGCTAATAAAAATAAGAGCAGGAATTGCCTACTATCAATCTTTATTAAGGACACTAGAATGTACAGAATTTAGAAATATAAATTTAATATTTATTAACATTTAATCATTATATAAAAGATTTTAAATTGTATTAAATTATTTTTCTTGATTGTTTAATTAAAGGATTTTATGCATTTAGAGAACCTGGTGAAATTATTTGACTCTTTACGATAATATTTAGTCTATAATTTATATTCAATATTTGTAACCATTGGTTAGAGATATTGAAGATTATTTATGATCCATTCAAATAATAATTTAAAGATTTAAAAAGATTCTTAGCTATTCATTATGTATTAATATTTGATTCAATTATGAATTTAAGAACTAAATTAATGAGTATTAAAAACATAAGAATGGATGAAAATTTTAGCTAATTCTATATCAGAATCAGATTTAATTAATTTTTATTTACCAATTAAACTGTTGATTAAGGAAACATTGATGTACTTAATAATACAACATTTAATAGTATAATTAAATTCTTACAAAAGTAAATTATTTCATATAATAATTAAATGTTTTCAAAATTTTTATTTGATGATTTAATTCAATCACATTTGGTTAGAGGAGATAGATTTTTTAAACAAGAGATAAGAAAATGGGTGTATTTGATGATGGATCAAATTATCTCGATAAATCTAAAATTCTTATAACACAAATAGGAAATTAATTAGCATTTGTTAGATTATTGAAATCAACTGCATTACATGCTAATTCCAAAAAATTAGAATATCTTATAATAGGAGCTTGATTTAGTAATAATTATATTTATTTAATATTCAATTACAGATGCTACTGTTTGCACTGCAAAAAAATTAGAGGAGTTATAAATAGATTTTATGAGAAGAGAAGACTGGTTTGATATATTTTTGTTGTAAGAAATTTCAATTGAAAATGAACATTTGTCTCTATTTTATTTGAATGTACCTACATTAACTTTGAATTTTATTGAAAAAAGTTAATTTATAAAGATTAAATAGGGAAAAAGAACTTAATTACTTAAATCTTTATTATTGTAAATACTATTTATTTGAATTTAGAATGATGGTTTTTTACTTTAGACATTCAATTTTTCTTAGGATTATTAGATTAAAAAGCATAATTTTATACTCTTCATTGGAAAAATTAAATCAAAAATAAATTAGGTCTTGATATGAAATCATTTAAAACGTTTAGCTTCTCAAATACTATCTAGAGGTAGTGAGGAGAGAATCATTATTACAAATAAATTAAGAAAAGATACTAAAGAAAGAAGATTAGAACTATTTTTTAAATGGGACTTTGTATGAAATGAATGGAAATTAAAAATAAGCTATGAAATGATGTTTAGAATTATTGAACAAAGTACCAAATAAGCCGCAATATTATAGATAGATTAGAATCATTATTTGCAAGGATATACAATATTATATATTAATAAGAAGATGATGATCAATCATGACAAAGTTTTTAAAAATCTTCTAGAATTTTATCATGATTAGGAGTGTCTTATGTGAAATAGAAAATTTAAGAGAAGGCATAGATGGTAGATAGTTATAGGAGAATGGAGTATTTTCAGAAGTCATTATAGGAAGGTATTTGTAAATTTATTCCTGTTAATATTAAATTAAAAGATATTAAATAATTTATCTTATATTCTTAGTTTATTTATGTAGTGAAATAGAATTATGATGTGAATATTTAAGACAAATGTAAGATAAAATTTATTGATGAATAATTCTAAGTTGAGGTAGAAGTTAAATTATTTACCTTGATGTAATATAAAATCTAAATATATTTGATAAATAACTTATTTTTAAGCAATACAACTGTATAACATTCTTCTAATTGAATTCTGCTTTAATAGTAAAACAGACACATTAAATCCAGTATTTTTAGCATGGAAGATCAATTTCCTATTGTTAGAAGTTATGATGGTAATAAAATAATATATCATTCTATTTATGAAGGATTTTAAGAATTATAATTCTCAATTACTGATGAATCTTGGGAAGTTAAGAAGATGTAGATTAAAATACAATTATTCCTTAAATTCAATAATTCTAATTTAACTAAGAATTTAAATTAAATATTTTTTGCTTTAATCATTTTTAGAACTTTGTTGATGGCTAGATCTTTTAGATGTCTCATTTTTATAAGATTTATTAGAAATTGAATGAAAATAAACAAAATTTAGCAACTAAAAAAAAAAGTAAAATAACAGTTAATGCAATATTAAATTCCACTTGATGTAAAGAAAAAATTTAATATCAATTAAAAAAAAGAGAAAAATGTTTTTTGAGTTTAGATAAATCATAGATTAGATTTCAGGTTATTGATTTTAAATTAACTATTATTTTAATGAAACATACAATTAGTAAATAAGAAATCTATAAAAAGGTCAAATAAATAATACTGAAATCTTAAATTCATTTTTATCTATTGCACCTAATCTTTAAATTCTTAATTTAATTCTTTAGAGTTAAAATCATTTCTTCCTAATTTTTGGCATTTGAACTTTCTTTAAGATTTTAAATTTTTTTTTCAAAAACAATCTCTTTATGCTTAATCAAACTAAATATTCTCTTTTTATAATACTTTTTTTGCTTTTGAAATAACATCTATGATAAAATTAGTTCTTCTTTATCATACTCTTTTTCAATATAACCATCAAATTCTTCTGCTTCTTATAATTCATTAACAGTGATTTAATTAGCTTGAGGTTTTTATTTGATTTCAAAATTGATCACATTTAACTTTCGTATAGGTAGATCACTTGCTGAAAACTTGTATGGAAATGCTATTTCACTTTTATT